GTAGTGGAAGTAGTAGTAGTAGCAGTAGTAGTAGTAGTAGTAGTAGTAGTAGTAGTAGTAGTAGTAATAAGAGTAGTAGTAGTAATAGGAGTAGTAGTAGTGGTGGTAGTAGTAGCAGTAGTAGTAGTAGTAGTAATGGTAGTGGTAGTGGTAGTGGTAGTGGTAGTGGTAGTGGTAGTGGTAGTGGTAGTGGTAGCAGCAGCAGAAGCAGTAGCAGTAACAGTAGCAGTAGCAGTAGCAGAAGCAGAAGCAGAAGCAGAAGCAGTAGTAGTAGTAGTAGTAGTAGTAGTAGTAGTAGTAGTATGTAGTAGTACTAGTAGTACTAGTAGTACTAGAAATAAATAGATTGACAATAGATAAAATAAAATAATGATGATTCTGGTGGTAATAACAAAAAGGTAAAATAACGTAATAATCATGAGAGCAATGTATGATGTAAAGAATAACGAATGCATAAGCAACAAAAATAACATTAACAATTGATAACAATAAACGGAAGAGCAAGGGTCGAGGGACAGGGTTGCAAGCTTTCGACTCTCACACCGTGGCGGAGGCTGTCGAGTTGGCTGAGGATTTAGCATTCAAGGCTTCCGGAGGTAGGCTTTTCCTAGAAGATGCACGAGGGAAGGGACAGAAGCATGATTTCTAAGCGGGAAGCCAACAATGCAGGTTCAAGGCTCACTGAAGCAGGTAGAATCTTACGGCGTCCACGAGTCCACTGCACAGGAATAAGAAGCCACTGCCGACCGAAGCCAAATGCTGCAACGCTGCCTGGCGTGCGCCCGGCGATCACCCGGCGTGCAGCAGCCAACAGGCGATAGAAGCCCCGCAAGCCTGGCAAAGCCGGAGAACTAATGCAGGGGCCTTTAGAACAGGGTTTTGGGGTATATAAACTATAGTTATAATAAGGAACCAAACATAGTATTGGTGATTATTTAGGCCCCTAATTATCCTCAACATGTCGAGCCGGCAAGCCGGCCGGCTCATTCTGCTCCATAGTCTTTTCGGCTGATGCGGCCTGCGAAGGGATCGCCCCCTTCGCGCTTGGGACCCACGATCGAAGCCACATCCGACCACATGGCCGGCAGCACCTGTCCGCAAATCTGCAGTTCCAAATTGCCACGGTTTGGCTCAGCCAGTAAGATTCTGCAATACAGGGGCACCTGCTAGAAAATGGTTCGGTGATGGATTGATCTCTCCACACCAGAAGCACGGCATTCGAGCTCCCTTTTTCGAAGGGGCCGCGGGCGGCCACAGGATGATGCAGTCTATGGGTCAACGCCGTATGAGGCGGCTTTTTGATCAGGGCCGCCTGAAAACATGGAGCAGAGTATGGCTGGTGAGAACACGAACGATACTCGAGTTCGGTCCTCACACCTTTGACCAACATCCCATCTCCTCAACTTTTCAACATAAGCAAATGAACACAATTGAACATCTTCACTTCTAAGCGAGCCGCACCATAACATTGCTTTCACTACCACAAACTCGATGACTATGGCTATGGCAGCGTGGCTTTCTTCGTCCACTTCCCCTCAAACTGACCCTCCGGAAAGCGTATGGCATTGTTTTCCCAGATGGCCTCAGGTGGTGCTCACAAGTTCTGGGAAGACCCATGTCGGGGTGTTCGGGCCGGGCTTCCAGGGCGCATGGAAACATCCAACTTCTGTTCCCATGCCTGTGCATCTCGAGCTTCTTCCCTTCAGATCAGACATTCCGATAACATCCAAAGCAAACATGTCCTTCCATGTTACGCCAACGCTGACATAGTCCCGAGTTCAAGCCCCTGCTTGCAAACATCCTAGATCAGAAATGCAAGAACGCAGCATGCCAGTGCAGACGCAAAGCTATGAGGCGTTCAGGACCTCCGCGGGTCCGGAAGTCCAGAATCATCTCCTCAAAGACGAGGCGTCTGACTCTGCGTCCAAATCATGACCCCAAACTCCTAAACCCTCAACCCCTATCTGAGAACCCTGAACCCTAAAAGCCCTAACCCCCCCTAAATGTTGAGGCCCTCCTTTAAAAAACATAGCAAGATACGTTGTAGGCCGCCAGGCTCAGCTTGCCTGTGACGCTCCAGGGCCGCTCCTGGACAGGGCAGGGTTTCGGATGGCTCTATAAGGGCTTAGGGTTTTGGGGTTTTAGGGTTTTGGGATTTTGGGTTTGGGGGTTCAGGGGATTTTGGGGGTTTAGTGTAGCTGGGGCTTACATACCACATTTGCTGCTGTTTACTTCTGGCAAACCACTGACCGCTAATGTCTTGCACTGCGTCCGCCATTGGGCTTCGCCTTCGTACTCGCGTGCCAAACCGAAGCTTACATTGATATGGGGGTTTCCGACAATAGGGGACCCTAATATAGTACCCTAAATAATAGGATCCTTATTATAAGGACCCCAAAATAAGGTACCCCTATTTTTGGAAAGTCCCATATGCATTCCTTCTCGCCGTTCCCGCAGCCCGGCTTCCCTTCCGCCGCGTCGATGGTGACCTCTGACAATCTAACGCTTCCAAGTATTTCGGTTCTGCATGCACCCAAACCATCCCAAACCACAAGGACACATGTACGTGCTGGTCTTCTCGAACCCTCTCTCTGCCGTGCAGCCTTCATGCCCTCCACGCGCACTTCCCGCTTGCAGCCCGGATGGTCGGGGTCCTCATAAGAACCTCGAGTGATGGGGCTCGTGTTTTGCATCATCCTACCTTCTTAGCATCCTACATAGCTAAGCATGAGGACACAGTTTGGGACCCGAGTTTAGAACAAACGTCAGATCTTGTGAATGATGTGTTGGCATTCCCGAAAGTCAACAGCTCAATGCCACTCGATAAGAGACTCCAAGGCAGCGAACCCTACGCCGACCCCCAAACCCCTTGAAGTGCCCCAAAACCTAAAACTTGAAACCGAGCACAACCAGCAAGAATCCAGCTTATCGGCCATGCCACCCTGCCAGTCGGGCACCTGGGTCAGCCCCTGGGCCCAGCTGACGGTGGGCCTTGCTACGACAGTGAGTTTGATGAGGTTTCTGAGGTACTTTTCGGCCTTTGCTAAGTCATTGATTATGGCATACCGTCCAAAGCAAAACTTGACGACGAATAGTGTTTCTGGTGGTCCACGCTTGCCTTGCGACACGATTTTAAATGGTGCTGTACTTCGTCCATCATCCCCCACGCTCCCCCCAACAAAAACCAGGATGTTCCTCACGCCTGAATTTGCAAGACCCGTGCCTTGAAGTATCAGTTCACACTGTGCCCACTGGAGTCGCCCTGCTTTGCCCAGGGGCTGAAGCGCGGGTGCCAGGGCAGCTGCCAGGGCAAAGCGGCGGCCCAGCGTGGGGGCCCTCGGAGCCAAGAAGGCCGGAGCCGTGGCCCTGACAGTGCCAAGGCCGATTTGTCAGCGCATTGCAGAGATTTGGGAGTTTCCGAAAATTAGGGGTACCTTATTCTGGGGTCCTTATAATAAGGATCCTACTATTTAGGGTACTATACTAGGGTCCCCTATTTTCGGAAATCCCCATTTGTCAGTGGGAGCACCAGGCTTGAGGACCATTCGGTGAGATTCGCAAGCGGAAGCAGGTGTCACCGTGTCAGGTGCCCCCGCACAAACACACACAAAACCCTGCCTCTGCCACTGCATCATCACAGCCAGTACTGCCTGGGTAGAAGCGATTCCGTCTGAGCCCTGTTTCAGGGGAGTGGAAGCTGCATGCTGGTTGCAAGTTCGTCACTGACGACCTGAACCCAGCTCCGTCCTCAGACCGGGACGAAACCCGCAAGGGCACGCGAGCGACCGCGCGCTGGTGGGCTTGTCATGGCACCGGGGGGGGAGAGTGTGGTTTGCTGTGCCCACTCCAGCTGGGCGCGCATGCCATTGACGTCTGCCCACTATCTAGTCCAGCGTTGCATGTCACTATCTAACAAAAAAGATGAATAGCAGCCTTTGCCACGAAAGTCTTGCAACATTGCACTGGGACATGTTGATCTCCCTTGCCTGCGAACAAAAGCATCTTTCTCGAACATGCGGCTTGGCATTCTGTGCATTTCTGTGCGCTGCCTTACGGTCATGAGCTGATACTTCGGGCGGGCTTTGCAGACAGACCTCCTACACGTGCATCTGCATGTAAAACCTCAGTCCCGCAAACCGTACAACCTGCTGAACCCTGGTCCCCACACTCTTCGAGGCGTGCCCCTCACGCCTCGAATAAGGTGCCCTTCAAGCTGTACTTGTTCTATCGTTGTTTGGTGAGAGGTTCACACCCAAGATATGACCACGGTTCTTTCGCACGCCCTATGTCCATGACAATGAAACTTGAAGCCCAATGAGACTTTCAGAAAGCAGAGAACCCTTCAGGTCGACCTCAGACCAGTCGGATCCTTGCTATATCTAATATGATGACGGTTTTTTGGCACTCACACTCGGACAAGCCTGGTTTAGGGTTTGGGGCTCAGGGTTTAGGGAGGAGCATACATGAGGGCCTCGTGATGTTTAAGAACCCCCCTCGTCGCAGTGAGCCTGCACAACTGCGAGACGGCAAGCCAGGTGCTCCTCGGAAGGTCGGAGAGGCCAGCTCGTGTTGAGGCCTTTAGCTTCGAGAAAGGATTTTGATGGTATATCATGCTAAAGTTGCATTGAGGTGGTTTTGCCACTGATTCAGGCTTCTGCACTAGGGTATAAGTGTCTTAACTGAGTTTCACAGGCCTGGCAAGCCCCCCAGCTTCCGATTGGAGGGCATCTCTCAGGAAAACCATTCTGCCCATCGGAATTCGGTAGTTTCGGAAGAGGTGGATCTAGACGCTGACTTGTCGAATGCCTGCTATCAAGACCCTTTTTCCCTGAGTAGAACGGGCCCCCTTCATTCTTAAGACATACCCAAGTGGCCTCCACCAGCACCTTGGAGAGGAGGCCGATGATGGAGGGCGCCTCGCCACTCCAGCCTGGCTGCTTCAAGCTGGGTCTGAGGTTTTAAAACGCTTGACCTGTTCATTAGGGCTGAGATGCCTTTTAACGGCTATAATAGACGGGACCATGATAGATGTAACAATGACGGTTGACTGGAAGCATCTCACCAAGATTTTTTTGTCTGATGGACGTGCCACGCATCGGGCGAGAGCAGATTGAAAGCAATGACAAAAGCGTCCTCCTTTTCTGGACACTGGTGCAGGGATGTTGCCTTGGTTGAGGGATTTCGTGTTCTAAGACGGTTCAGGGCCAAAGGCGAGATTCGAAAAGCTCTCCTTGGGACTTGTCAGCCTTGTCTGGAGGGGCAGCTGCCCATCTAAAATGTCTTAGGGCCATACTGGCAGGAGCTCCATCCCATCTCGGCCTACGCCGCTACGCCCGTGCATCACACTTCAGCTTGAACCCCTGCAGGCGATCGATGCACCAGTCGATCTCCACGAGGCTCTCCTCGGCAGCCTTGATCTCGGGCATGAGTCGCTCCCTTCGGGCTTCGTAGTTTGCCAAATCTTCGGGCGTGAGCTCGATTATGGCCATGTCTTCCTCAAGCCTTCTCATCATCGGCAGCTTGAAGAAAGACTCTGAGAAGAGCTCCACTTGGTCACAGACCTGCGAGCGAATGAAGCTGTACGTCTTCAGGACGAGCATCTGGACCATGTCGACAGCCTCGTCGATCTCGTGGGGCTCAGTGGGGATGTCTGTGAGCCACCTCGAGAGCGTCGATTCCATGCCACTTCGATTCTCGATTTCCTTGGGGATCCGATTCTTGGTGTCGTCGAAGGAAGGAAGCATCGCCTCTTGCAGCGACTCGTCGGCCCCAGGGCTACTACTGGTCGCACCCTTGAGAAACACCCACGGGTTGGAAAAGGTTGAGGTGAGCATGTTCTCGAAGAGCTCGATAAACTGGCGAAGCTGACGCCCACAGCTCTTGTCGTATGTCTGCCACACGGCGTGCTTGATCATCGCATTCTGCTTGATGAGCTTCGCGTGCTGCGGGTAGAGCGGTGAAAACAAGTTGGCCGTCGGCGACCCCTCGAGCTTCGTCATGAACTCCAGCACGGCATCTTTCTGGATTTCGAAGAACCATTTGATTCGCTCCCCGACGTAGGCCACGCGGCGCTGCAACGGCAGATGCGCTTCGTGACTGAGAAGCTTCACGACCACGTCGCGCCATGTGAGCGAACTCATAGACACCCCACGAGCCTGGATCACATCGCGCTTCTTGATCTCCACCGCAATTTCCGAGAAGCGCAAGAAGATCTCCACCTCCATCATCAGACGTCTAAACTGTGCACCTCCGTTTACCTCCACGTCAAAGGCGCCGATCTGTATTTCGTTGCGGAGATAGTCGATGTAGTCGTTCAGGCTGCAGAAGTCCTCGGAGGGCAGCATGCTGAAGTGCGCAGATCCCAGTGTCTGGTGGTACGTGTGGAAGGCCCGGAGCTCCTCGTCCAAGTTCATGACGGGCTGCAAGTCCAGAACGCCTTCCATCACGTGCGTCAGGGCTGTGGCAAAGGAGATGCCGCAATCGCGGGTGGTGCTCAGGATGCGATGCGGATCCGTGTCGTTGTACTCCGTCTCCAAGTCCTTCTTCTGCTGGCTCGCGGTGGATTTGAGATCCTTAAGGTTCGTGAGCACTGGATCAATGGCGTCTGCGAACATCTGCTCGATTTTCTTCTCCATGTACTTCACGAAATTCCTGAAACCGATTGTGCCCATGTAGAGGTCGCTGAGGCCCTTCGAAGCCATTTGGTTGCGGTCCTCCGTGTCCTTCTCGTCCTTGATGTCATTGAAGGGCTTGGGCATCGGGCTGGTGTCCGGCCACCACGGAAGGGTCATTGCAAACCTCACCAGGGAGTCTGGGAGATCTCCGAAGCCATCCACCCACTTGCTCACGTTGTCAGGCGTCAGATCGGAGTAATACTTGTCGAGCTTGTTTCTGATGAGAACCGTTCTCTTCAGGTCTGGATCCAGCGCACGACATTTTGCCAGAGTGGACATAGTGGCTGCATCGCCAGCTTGCTCGACGCAGAGCATGACGTTCCGCTTGTCCTTCATGAAGGACATGACAAGGGTCTCGATCTTGTCGGCCAAGTCCTGCTTGCCCGTGTCGATGGCGAAATCCCGGAAACCTGGGAGGTCAACGATCTGCATGTCGACGCACTTGCTCGACTCGATGCGCACGTAGATGGGTTCGTGACTGACTGAAGTGCCGCACTCCTCGTGAGCGTCGCCCACGATCTTCATGACCTGATCGACAGGATGATCGACCCAGTGGTTTGTCTTCCGGTCGCGTACGAACCACCTGGACTGAGAGAAAGTTGGGGCATGCCGGAACTCGAGTACCGTGGGCCGTCGGCTGCCCAAGGTCCCGGAGATGAAGTTGAAGCACTCACCAGCCAGCGCCTCTATGAGCCGGCTCTTGCCCACACTCTGGCGTCCGATCAAAATGAACTGGGGCATCGGAAAGTCCACGATCCCAAGCTTGTCCTGCACACGAGCTTTCACATCTCCCAGGACGTTCAGCAGGTCAGACTTGGCCCCAACCGACGCCATGGCGCTGGCGCCAAGAAAGGGAAAAGGCACACCCTCAGCTCTGGGGCCTAGGGCTCTTTCTCTCCCAATACCCTCAGCTCGTTTCAAGCCTGTCCCGGTTTTGTGGTTTACACTCTCACAACTCGGACAATAGTCTGCTACCGAACCGGTGTTCACTGCTGCTTGGGCCACTGACCTCGGAAGGACTGGGAGTTACTGCTTCCAGTGTTTCAGTCTGCATGTTCAGAGCAGCGCAGAAATCCAGAAACTTTTCCACATCATGCAGTACCGAGGCCAAGCATCAGAGGCCGATGCAGAAAATTGGGCGAAGCAAGGGAGCACAGACTCGTGAGGCTTCTCTTTTTCTTTTTGCCTGAAAGCGATGTTGCTGCTTTCTTTCCCGTGGTGCTTTGAAGCCATCAAGTATGTGCTCCTGCAAAGAGCTCTAGAAAACTGTTGACATGTCGCGCTTGCATCGCGCCACTCGTGTGCTCACGAGGGAAAGCACACAAGCACATCAGATGTTACACATTGAAATCAGTCAAACAACTTCTTGCGGACGGTACATGCGCAGCTTCTGAAGCTATATATAATTACGTTGGCGTACCATGCTTTGACTTCTGCAACCATGACTGCCACAGAGCTGCAGGCTGAAATTTCACCACTACAACAAGAGTGCTGCAGTAACTTCGCCTCCTCCCCTTACCTCTGCTAGCAATAGGCTCACACTGCAAGTACGACTGAAAGCATGCTAGTGCACATGCTGCTTCAAAAGCCGCGGCTCTGCGGTGGCATCAGAAGCTTCACGAGAGTCGTTTGGTCGGTGTTGCTAAGTGCCTCAGCACTTCCGGCTGCTTCAGTTCGCCACCAGAGAACTCAAAATCCTCCCCCCCATTCCCCGTGACTGCCTTAAGAAGGACTGCAGGATCATTAGCTTGCAGTTACTTCGCTACTTGCAGTCATGCAGTAATGATTATCTTCATGTCACATCGCCTATGACATTCAACTGGCAATCAACTTACAGCTGCACCGACATCAGGACATTACCATCCCAGCTCCAAAATAAGTTGCAAACTGGGCGCTTGTTCATACATGTAGGGAAATAGCAATGGAGACCCAGAAGTGTCAAGGAATAAGGGACCCTGTGGACACTCGGCATGTCAGGATCTTTGTGATGCAACGCCCCCCCCCCCCCATGCGGAATTCAGAGGCTCGCGTCTTGGCGACTCACTGAGAACTTGATGTTGGATTTGCTTAGGGAATGCAGGCGACGATATGGGCTGCAGCTGCGCAGTGCCCATGCCAGCAGTCAGAGACAAACAATGACATGACATCCAGACACATTTCTCATCACTACTGTTGCTACAACTGTCATAGGTTTTACCATGCTGATTGTTGCCATCCTTGCTGAAATTACTACTATCATGATCCATGGTTTCTTCTTCTAATGATGATGATGATGAACAAGCTTACTCGTAATAGTATACCTATTTGGCTATGAAGTCTGGGAGATGTTTTGTCGCACTACATCCACTGAGGCGGCCACATAAAGCACACCGAAGAAGAGAATTGTTATCACCTGGGGAGCTGCCGGATTACTACAACCGCTACTATGGCGGTTCTATAAGGTTCAAGGTTTGGCGGGCTTTGGATTTGCGATTCAAGGTTGCCGTCCTGTAGGGTTTAAAAGGTTCTCTGCGCCTCGTTTTACCGTGCAACCTTTCATCATGAGCTGGAGCTGTGTATGCAAACGTCCTCGTACACGCAGATTGCCTTCTCACTTCCTTCGAGCTGCCCTCTGGGCGGTTTAAGGTTGCCGTTCTGGCGAGTCTCCTAAACCCTAGACCGTGTCTGGGGCTGCCACCCCCTGGATGAGCCGAGCATTGCCCATGTACATGAGGCCACCGGCATCGTTGATCTCACTGTTGACTCGCCTCGGGTCCAGGTCCAGATTTTTTGCAGAAGAATCACAACGGTTGATGATATAAATACTGCATTACCCATAATAATCAGGAATAATAACCAGGAATATACCATAATTTTCGCAGTTTAGGACCTATCAACAGTAGATAGTAACGATTTAGTGGTTGCGCTCTCACTACTCGGACAAGCCAGGCGAGGTTCAACAGGTGCAGTCGGCGTGATACAGAATTTGGTTCCCTGAGGGTTTAGATGATCATATGTGTTTGCAGCCTGACTTTTCTTCTTACTTGAGGTTGTTCTCTCGACTGCTGCCTCTCAACAGCGAGGCGGCTTTAACGCCCAATGGCTCTCTGTAGCGCTTGGTCATCTGGACGCGAATCTCGCTCACCTCATCCGGGAAGATCTCGTCACCCATGATGGCCTAGCTGCAATCGGACGTATGATGGCGCATGTCTGGGACAAGCAACCGCACGGCTGAATTATGCCGCGCCGTGTAATTAAACGAACTACAAGCAGCATT